CCCAACCCTAATACAGCACCCGACCCACGACCCCACCATGCACCCAGACAAATCTGGGGGAGTCCCCTAGATGTCTTAGTAGCGCCGCTGCCGCCGCGGCGACGAAATCGGCGCGCCGGCACAGGCCGGCATTGCACAAGAAGAAACGAAAGGCGAAATCCAGCCTGACGCCATGCGGCAGAGCGGCGCGGGTACAGACTCGGGGCAACCCCAGAACAGGACCCGACCCCCGACACCACCAACTGACCAGACACATAAGGAGCAGGCTCTTAAATACCTAATCAGCGTCGCTGTCTTCGCGGCCAGAAATTGCGCGCGCTGGCTCTGGCCAGCGACGCCCGAGATTTTGGGCAAGCTCGAAGTGGCAGCCGATGGGAGGCGATGGGCCATATCCGGCCAGCGCCTCTCGCGAGCACCCTCCTCCTCCAAGGCCGTGTGGGGGGCCCAACAGAGGGGGCGGGGGCCTCCTCCTCCATATTGGCCCAAGGGCCAACCGAGACCGTGACGTCTCCGTGCTTGGGATGCCGCCCCCTCGCGATCTGCCTCCAGGCGTGCTTCTGGCCCTGAGATCCAGCCTTCAGGATTGGCTGGCAAAGCTGTCGGAGGCCTTGAACCTGCCCGCCCCCACCCCGTGTTGAACATGCAATTGAGGCACGCAAAAACAAGGCCACCGTCCGAGGCGTCAAGACAAATCGCCGTGCCCCAGACCAGAAAACGCAGCGGCATCCACGCCGCGGATCCCGACGCCCGCGCCACCGCGGCACAAGCTCGCGGGCAGCTTGTCGGCTGAACGCGAACCGCGAAACATCTAGAACACTTTCAAAAACGCTCCGTCCAGCTCCGAGCGCGCGTCGGACCCTGCTCTTTGCCCAAAGGAGCGGCAACAAGGGCCCTCTGTACGTTCGGCCCTTGATCGAGCCGCGGCCAAAGGTGGTGATAGCTTCGCGGCCAGACTGCCCACGGCAAACGCAATTGCCAGAATGCAATCTACATCCCAAGTTTCCGTGCTGTCGGTCTATGGGTGGATCAACGCCGCTTGCTTCACAGAAGCGCCGACAGCGTGGATGCCTTCGCGCAAATAGAGATCCAAGCTATCTTCGGCCCCTTGGATGAACTGGTGGACCTTGACTTTGCGCGCTTGGCACCGCTGGGAAAACTCTCGACAGAATAGAGCAGCTCCAGCGTGCGCGCTTACGAATAAAGCGTTGCTTTTCCCACGGAAAGGGCATGGACATCAACGCAGGCTTTGCGTCAACGCGCAGCTCGCAACGGCCACTCGACCAGCGCAGCGCGACCGAAGAAGCGTGACACTTAGCGGCCTGTGCCGCCTGTAAACACGGGGGCCAAACTGGCCCCCGCACTCCAACGATCACAAGACCTGTGTCACGATGCCAGAGCGAGAAGGCCCAACTCGCACGATCGAGTTCGGGGATGACCCTGTTGCTGCGCGACCCGTCCGTGAATATATCCCCGACGAAAACGTCGTCAAGCGTGGGGCCCCGGCCAGAAGGAGATACCCATCCGACCTGGACGCCGCCCGCCTGAAGAGGGCGAGGAAAAGACTCGGCAGGGTGGTTGAAAACTCCGAAACACGCGAGCACGTCGTCCGCGCCCGTCGCCCACCTCCTCCCCTTGTCCTTAACCAATGCCTCCCTCTCGCTCGAAACCACCGCATGCAGCCATGAACGATGCCTTGGCGTGTCTTCCGCGTCGAGGCACAACGGGCGCAGCGCGGGCGGTATGACATATCCTACGTCGACAACGCGCTGCCCAGTAACAAATGGCGTCGCAAGACAAAGACCGCATGCAACCTTTCTGAAAGGGACCGAGCCGAGAGCTCTGGTGCCATCTCAAAACTCCACCGACGCGCGCCCTCCCATTCAAATCCAAATCCAACCCCAACCCACGGAAAAAAAAACGCTTCATTGAGAAGCGTCTTCTGCAGCTGAGGCGAAACTTCGCCAAACACAATATTGTCTCCTTGGTCCGAGGTGATCGAAACACAAATTCCCATGGCCCAAGAAACGCGCTTTCAGGACTTCCGAAGGGCCGACGCAAGCCCGGAACAATTTTTTGTTTGTTGTTATTTACGAAACCGCGAGTCCCCGCGGAAACCAACGCCCCACGCTTCTCTGAGCTCGGCCAAGGGGACGGGAAACGAGCGCAGAGAATGGCGGGAGATCAAAACCTCCTTGGCCCACCTGATGGTCGGCGCTACCGCCGCGAGCCAGCGCGGCTCCTGGTGGGCCAACTAAAGACAGGCGACGGATCTTCCTTTGACCGATGGTTGCAGCTAAAAGGGCCGCCCGTCGACGAAACTGCAACAGCTCGACCTCCGTAACCCTATGAATGTCGGCCCCGAAAAGGCCAGCCAGGCGGCGAAATCCCTCTTCTTCGCACCCCCCCACCTGCTCATCTTCTCGATCTTTCTCCGTGTCCCCATCGATCCCCCCCCACATATGAGGAGGAGGAGGAGGAGGAGGAGGAGGAGGAGGAAGGAGGAGGAGGAGGAGGAGGAGGAGGAGGAGGAGGGGGAGGAGGAGGAGGGGGAGGAGGAGGAAGAGGAGGGGGAGGACATGTGGTGGAGGATGGGAAGGACGAGGTGGAGGACGCGAGCAGGCCTGGGCATATTGGTACCTTTTCCCCCTCCGAGGTTCGGGCGCCCCCCCTCCCGAAGGCCCGCGGCCCCCTCGCCGCGGGAAGGGGAGCGCCCCGCGCGCCCGCGGCTCCCTCGCCGCGGCCCTCCTCGAGTAATGTGAGAAGCAAGTCGCCCTGCACGGTATTTCCCCCCCCCCCCCCCCCGGAAAGAACACCTGGACGAAACAACCCGGAAGAAGGTGCCCGCGTGAATTCAGATGCAGTCGGGCCTCGCAACGCGAATGGCAGCGCAGACCCGCCCCAGGCGTCACAGTTGCAAGGCGCCTGAGGGCCTCGAGATGCCACCCCGAGACACGGCCACCGGCATCATCCCCACCTGGCCGCCGGCCTCAAGGAGCGGAGACCCCACTGCCCGAGGACTTTAGTTCCCGCGCCCCCCCCGTCGGGGGACCCCTTCGAGTAATCCCGTGTACGGCGGGCCCGCGCCGACCGTGGTTGGCCAACCACAGGGCAAGAGCCTCTCCCACAGCCCCGCATGCGCAGAGGCACGACGACAAGGGGGAGGAGGAGGTGAAGGACGACGACGACGGCGTCGAGGTCGACGACGACGGAAGCGACGACGAAAGCGACGACGACGACGACGACGACGGCCCGCGAGGCCTCGGTCGACCTTCTCGCGGCCCCGCTCCGCCCCGCCGATGAGCAGCCGCGAGGCCTCGGGGGCGAGCGACGGGCTCTGCACGGCCGACGCGGGGCCGTGAGGCGTCGGTCGGGCCGCCGCCGCCGCCGCCGCGGTCGTCGTCGCCGTCGTCGTCGTCGTCGTCGTCGTCGTCGTCGTCGTCGTCGTCGTCATCGTCGACCTCGACGTTCTCGTCGTCCTCCTCCTCCTCCTCATCGTCGTCGTCGTCGCCGTTCTCGTCGTCGTCCTTGTCGTCCTCGTCGTCGCGTCCCCGTCGTCGAAGTCGTCGACGAAGTCGTCGTCATCGTCATCGTCGTCGTCGTCGGAGTAGCCTCACGTGTGGCGGGGATTGATACATGACCACCGCCTGGAAGTGGTTATGGACGTTATGGATTACTTACCCCATCCGAACTTAGCTGTCTTAATTGAAAAACGGCGACGAGGCAGGGAGGATGGGGTGAGGACGCTTGCTGAAAGTAGATTATCTGGTGGGTGCCAACGCCCTATGGTGGGACCATGTGTTGCTTGCCCACCTTGGCACTGGGACTTCGAAAGCCTCCAGAAATCCCGAGGGACCTTCAAGGCCACCAATAGACCCCTGGAGATTTCTGGAGACATTGGAAGATGACGAAAATGAGCCAGAAAAACCCACATGAAACAACCTGCAATCGACCGTCACGCAAATCCGTATGATGATGCCTTTGGCACTAAGGGAAACGACACTTTGAAAGATGAACGCCCCGTGAGACTGTCATTCCTTTTTTGACAGTGACCCACGCTCCATCCTTTTAGCTTCACATGCGAACAGGTGGGACCTTGCAACTCAAGGAACGAACTGAAAACGAATCACTCTTCGTCCGTTCAACGGTTGCACGTCACGTGTTTAAGCATCAGGCAAAGCAATATATAAAGGCTCTGGGATACTGAACGATGGTCTCGTTTTGAAAACAATCCTCCCTTGGATCCGTGCAACTCGCGTAAATTAATTAAGCAAATGCGCGCAACGCAAACACGAACTACCTGTTGACACGCATCAGCACCCAATCCGTGTAACTGGTGGGAACATCTATACGAATGAGCACGGCGCAAAGGAGAGCCACATGCTGAAAAGAAGTCACCCTCCATCCGAGCAGCTGTTGGCAACTGATGCCACCAATGTGCGTGGCTGTATGGCGACGAACTGCACTTTAGAAAACGCCCGCCATCCATCCGAGGAGCTTTTGAAACAAACAGGCTTCTCAATGAGAACTACAGTATGGGAATGTCACAGGCGAAACGCCCAGGCTTCCCTACCAAAACGTTTTGTAGTGCGACGAGGCTGAGTTGTCTGGGAGGGAATAGAGGGGTGGACGAGAAGGAGGGAATCGTTCGCTGGGCGTGCTATGCTGCCAGACTCGCCAATCCCCCCGTCGACGCTGCTATTGTTGGAACGGCGAGGGTTTCGCTGCACCAGTACGGCCACCTGGACCGCTACCGCACACAAGCCATGCGCCCCCCCTCTCTCTCACCCTCCCTCTCTCTCTCTCTCGCTCGCCCTCTTATACCTATTCTGCAGTTTTGTGCGGCAGGCTCATCTTCGTGAGACTGGTCTCGCGCGGAGAAAGACATGGCCCCCCAAAGACCAGAGACCCGCAAGAGAGCGCGTCTAGGGATGCCGACCCGCGCGCGTCTAGGGATGATCCACCGACTTCCGACCGCTGGACCCGCTGGACGGTGCCAGCGTTCACCAGTTGTCGTAGCTGTCCTCGCTCTCGCCGCCGTCCCTGGGAGTGCGAGAGATCAGACAAAGACCAGCTCCGGACCTCCACGAACGGCTTCTCCGCCGGCGTCTGGACCGCGTCAGGGGTGCGGGGTGGCGGTCCGACGCCAGGGGGAAAACTGCCCGCGGACGCTCGAGACTCATGCCTAGGAGACGGAGCAGGACGAGGAGGAGGAGGAGGAGGAGGAGGAGGAGAAGGAGAAGGAGAAGGACGAGGACGAGGAGGAGAAGGAGGAGAAGGAAGAGGAGGAGGAGGAGGAGGAGGATGAGTAAAAAGAGGAGGAGGAAAAGGCGGAGGAAAAGCAGGAGGGGGGGGAGGAGGAGGGTGTGCTCCTGGCCTCTGAGGGTCCTGGACGTCGCCATCGGGGCCCTCCTCGAGCTGCTGCTGCGAGGGCGCATCCTCGGCCGCACTGGCCGTGTCCAGCGTCTCCTCTGGCGCGCTGGCCATCTTCTCCGCCTCCCCCCGCAGGTAGACCACCTCGTGGCGGAGGGCGCTCTCCTGGACCATCTCCTCCTGGAAAAGAGGCAACTGCTGGGAGGTCTTTGCCAGAAGGACTCGGGAGAATGAAGCCCCCTTGTTGGACTGCGACGCTGGATGAGGCCGCGGACGAAGCGGGGTTGGGCCAGCACAAAGGCGGGATTACAAGCCGGATGAAGCGTTTTAAAGCCAGAGTGAGCCCGAGGTCGGACGAGGGCGAAATCAGAATTTGACCGCTCTGGAGTTGCATCCGAACTCCTGGATACTCTGCTCCAGGGCGGTGATGTACTGCGCCAGAGTCCTCTGATCGCGCTGAGCCATGGTCTCGTGCACCTCCCTGGCGTAGCGTATGTGGCGGAAAGCGTCCTCCATGTCCTTCCTGGCGTTGAGCTCTTCGGCCTCGATTCCCTCACGACTGCCACCCTTGCCCCTCATGACGGTCTCGATGAAGACGTCTTCGTTCTTGCAAGCCTCCTTTTCGAGTGCCATCATGCTCCACGCGTTGACCGTCTTTCTTGCTTCGTCCCGGCTCCAAGACAAGACTTGTTGCATTCGCTCGTCGACGTCGCATACCTCGGGAAGGCCCTTCGCTTTCTTGTTGGACGGCATGGGACCCTCTGCGTTGACGTTGCCCGTCTCTCTGATGAGGGCGATCCGCTGTGCGAAATCGCGAACTCGCTTAGCCCGAGATGGAGGGCCCTCTTCCATTTTAACCTGCGGGTCCTGTACCATCGTGTGGTCGTTGTCCCACTCAATGAATCGAAGGAGTCGGCCGAAGAATGGTTTCAATTTCCTCTTCAGGCTGACGTGCGGCGGATCGTTGGTCACAAAATACCGGTCGATGATCGCAAACAATGTGTTTGAAAAGACGACGTAACAAACAAGTAAGTACTGATAGAAAAACAGCGAGGCCATGACAGCATCAGCTTTGTACAGGGGTCCAAATTCAAATCTTCCGAATAGATAGTCTAGGCAATACACCACCGCACCCCCGAATGACGAGCAAGGCCTGAATCGTTCACCAAACGACATCCATGCGAACATGATTAAACCTACCAAGATGACTGACATCATTACAACAAACCAAAATATGTCATGCTGAGCGTCGTCCAAATTCTTCCACAACTGCGCTATCCTCACACTTCCAGTTCTCAAGAATTTGATTGGCCGGATGAACAAGAATATTACATTCACTCCAGAGAGCCGGTTAAAACCGCCACGGCGTGTTTTTGCGCTTAATTCGGCGGCATGTGAGAATGCGTGTCAGCTGTCTAGTAGGGTTTCGGTAGTTGTCCCGAATCCGTTAATCCCCGACACGTGCCCCGATAATCTCCTTCATGTCTTGATGTCTGCTAACCTTCGCCACCCGAACACAAACACGGCCCAAGCCCGAATACGGCTTCAAGACTTCTCGAAACGGACCTACAAAAGCTCATAGAAACCCAATGCGCCGACAAAAGCGCCCAAGAAACCCCCTACCCTCTACCCAACCCTAGGAAGCAGAAGACATTGAGGACCAATTGATTGTTCAGGGTGTGTGTGTGTGTGTGTGTGTGTCTGTGTGTGTGTGTCTACAGTGTTGTACGTGGCGTGGTGCGTGGGTGTATTGAATGTCATGTGTGTTGTGCATGTTGTGTGTTGTGAATGTGATGGCTGTGTGTGTTGTGTGTGTGGTGTGTGTGCGTGGAGGGGGAGGCGCGCGTGCGCATGTGAGTAGGTGTGGGTGTAGGTGTGGGAGTGGGTGCGGGTGGGTCTGTGTGCATGCGCGCGTCGAACGCGCGTTCGAGAGCGTGCGCGTGCGCGCACTCGTGCGCGTGCGCGTGCTCTTGCGCGTGCGGGTGTGTGTGTGTGTGTGCTACTCCGCATGTGCATGTGCGTGTGCGTGTTCGTGTGCTTGTGCGTTTCGTGTGCGGCCGAGAGTCGAACCTGACGGCCAGCCGACGGTTTAAGCGAGGCCAACGGCGAGCCTCATCTGAGAGGAGCCGTAGGCCAGAAAGCCCGCCAGACCCTACGCCTAGCGCAAGTGTACACACGAGCGCCGGGACCCCAGGGCCACCTGCGGACCCGGTCGTCTCCATGCTCTCGCGGACCTCCTCATCCAGGCTGGCGCCACGCCGACGCTGACGCCTGCCCAGGGGCAGCACACCGCCTCCAAGTCGCGGAGGCCCTGGTGGCCCCCATCCGGGGCAGCCATGGCCTGCTCAACTGCGGGCCCAGCAGCGCCAGTGGACGGGGACGCGTCGAGCACCTCGGACGCGCCTCCGAGGTCCGCCTCGCCGTCGGCCTCGGAACCGAGGTCGGAGTCCCGCACATCCGGCACGAGGCTCGCGGCCGCCGACTCGGGCACGGCGGCCTCCAAGTGTAGCATGTTGTCCTGCATGCGTCGCCGCCGCAAGCGGCGACTGCGCTGTGCTCCACGGCACCGATGACGGCCGGAAGCGCACGGCCGCGATGACCAGCCGGACCCCCCTGTCGTCGCGGTTGCGGGAGTCCGGGTCGGAGTGCGGCGCGCTCAGCTCAAGGTGCGCGCCCACCGACGCGGGCTCGGCCTCGTCCGCGCCCTTCAGATCCCCCTCGGCGTCCTCGGCCGCGAGAGCGGGGAACCGCGGAATCGAGTCCAGCGCGGCGTCCACAGCGGGGCGGAGCAGGGCTCCCAGCGCTCGCCCTGCCTCAGCGCCGCCTTCGCCACGGGCTCGGGCACCTGCCCGCCCTCCAGGACCTCTTCGGCCTCGCAAGCGTCGGACCCGTTGGGGCCGCTTGCCCACAGCCGCGTCCTCGAGCAGGCCCGCGACCGTGAGCGGAGCGCCGTCGCTGCCCGCGAAGACGTGCTCCGCTACGTGGCGCCACGCACGCTGGTCGCCAGCGACCTGCGGGTGCGGCGCCTCGGTCGCCGCGCGGGCACTCTCCGCGATGACGGGCGCGACCACCTCCAAGCGGGCATCCACCTCGCCCCGAACGCCGTCGGTGCTGCCCGCAACCGCGGGCGTCGTGCGGAACGCACGAATGGCCGCCGCCGCGACGGCCGCCATGGCCTGCCTGGGCGCGCCACCCGCCACAACACCTCGCATGCGCCGACAAGCGCCTCCATGATTTCCAGCTCGCCAGCCTGATGGTCCCCTGGCGGGGGAGCGATCGGCACCATCGCCACAGGCTGCTGCGGGTAGGGAATTGAGACAGAACCGCTCTCGGTGCCCGCCGAGACGACGGGACTCTACAGAGAGAGAGAGAGAGAGAGCGAGACACGCCGCGCACCCCATGCCTGGTGCCCAAGGCAGGCTTGAGCCCACGTGGCTACGGATATGTGTGTGTGTGTGTGTCAGTGTGTGTGTGTGTGTATGTGTCTATGTGTGTGTGCCTCGTGCCTCTGTGGGAACGTGTGGATGTGCGTGTAAGCGTATGTGTGCGCGTGCGCGTGCGCGTGCGCGTGCGCGTGCGCGTGCGTATGCGTGTGCGTGTGCGTGTGCGTGTGTGCGTGCGTGTGTGTGTGTGTGTATGTGTGTGTGTGGGTGTGTATGTGTGCGGGTGGTTGTGTGTATGTGTGTGTGTGTTCTGCGTGTGTGCGTGTGTGCGCGCGTTGTTGTTGTGCGCATCTCTGAACATCGCCTTGCCACGCGCTTCACAAAGAAGCGAACTGAGCTGCTGATATCCCCAGAACTTTGAAGCGCTGTTTGAGTTCAATGACGCGTCGAAGATAAAGTGTGTGTGTGTGTGTGTGGGTGCGCGCGTGTGCTTCCCTGGCTTGTCGGCTTGGGAATGCATCACGAATGCCACTTGAAGCCCCAAGACGGCCCCAGTGGACCCTGGGCAGCGCTAAGGCGGCCTAGTACCGCACCAAGACTGCGCCCGCACGGCCATTCTACCGAGCCTCTTCGCGAGAGCTTTGTGGAACCATCGCGCCAACGATGCCCCAAGACGCTCACCAGGCCAAAAAGAAGCCATCCAGAAAACCATGACGACCCGAGATGACAACGTGGGACACAACATAAACTGCCACGATGCATGCACGAGGGGAACAGCACAAACTGCCAAGAAGCTTGCGAATAACTTCTAAGAGGCAACTCAACGAACATGCAATGGTACAACCACGCCACGCTAAAATATCATAGCGCTATTTCGCAGGCGGACCCCCACGATTGTCCTAGCGAGCCTTTGCGGAAGAGCTCGCCAGAATCGTCATGCCTGCATGTCAATTCTGTGCTGGCACGGAGGCGGGGTCTGCCGCAAGCAGCCGTACATTTGATGCCAGAACTGCATTGTTCTCATGAGGGTGAGAAAATCTCCGAGGCTGCCTTCCACAGCGCCCTTGAGCTGCAGGTCCCTCACGAGCCACACGGCGAAGCTCGCTGCGGCCGCCAGGGAAATCATAAAGGATATCAGCTCCAAAGCGTTGAACGGGTCACCCGAGAAAAAACCCCACGTGATACTCAATCGGCTCTCGTACCCGTCCTCATGCTCGCCCATGCTTTTTCTGATGAAGGCCTAGTATGGGAGGCTGCCGGGGGCTCTGAACTGGTCGCGACCGCAGAAAATCGGTCAGGAGCGGGGATGAGGCCAAATCCACTCCAAATCGAACCCCAGACCCCTCTGGGGATCCACCTGGTGAAATTTTTCACCCCCGATCCGTGTCTGACTGTCCTGGGGTCTGAACACGGCCCCTGGAGGCTGAAGAAGGCAATAAGCCGTCCCGAACCCAGAACCTCGAACCTGCCTGCCCTTCTTGCTCGCTGGAACTAATGCTGGGCCACCAGACCCCTTGCCGACTCCAAGCCTGGTTCAGCTCCCGAAACAAGCTGGTCGTGAAATATATGGAGAAACAGACGCACAAAACGCCCGGCAGCACCCTCTGCGCGAGGGTCTTGACAATTTCATGGGCGCTCCCATGCAGGTCGAAGGTGGCCATTGTGTCCATGTCGATGGACGGCTTCATCCTGCCGCTGCTCATGAGGTTAAAGTGAAGAGCGACAAGGCTCACAACCTTGTAGTTGCCGTTGAAGATGGCGAACTCCGCCCTCAACGACTTCGTATTGTACGCGAAGAAGTCCAACTCCGACAGACTGCTCATTGAGGACACGAAGGCGCTGTGCTCAGCCTCGAGTTATGTTTACCATCATATTTAAGAACCACATCGCAGACATAATTCCGAGCACCCAGAAACATATCGACACGGTGTCTGCCCGACACGCCAGCGACGTGTCGAACGAGTATCGCCTCCCAGGGCCCGACGCGTATAAACCTTCCAGTGGCGGTACTTTCCTGGTGCTCGAAATTCTTCCTGGTGATCACGGCTAAATTCGGTTGGGATATCGTAAGCTTAGGTCGAGCATGTCCTCCTACAGGCGGGTTTTGGACGGAAGAACAAAAATACCTGAACGAAAAACAAACATAGTCACACACAATGCACTATACATCGCCCCCAGACTATCTTTTGACTGTTTGGGAACATCCCTCCTGTAGAGGGAGAGGCCCGACTGAAAAGCAGGCTGGAACACCGTAAGCCTCGAGGAAGCACTGGACCTTCAGCTCCCCTCCCGTGCACGAGGTGCTGCACGGCAGCCCGGTGACGTTGAAGACCTCGGTGCACGCTTGGCTGCTGCCCCCGGCCTCGGGAGACTGCCGGAAAGGCACGAGGCTGGGGCCGCCGAGGAACGGCGTCCTGCGTCAGGTCGGGCATGTCCCCCTGCAGGCGGATCTTGGGCGAAAAATGAAAAAGAGTAAAATAAGCACAAAAAACCATGTAATGATCAAGTACAGTCAAACAAACATCGTCCCCAGACCATTTTTGGACTATTGCTGAATATTCCTGTAGAGCGACATGCCCAACTTAGTCCTGCCGTCGGTGCACGGGCTCTTCAGGCAGCCTTCGTTCTTGGCCGCTGGGCGGCGGACCTAGAAGAAGAAAAAACGCCACTTACAGAAACTGTTGGCGCTGAGCGCGGATTTCTTGCTGAACCCCCCTCCCTAACGCGCGGAGCGCGCCAAGGGCGGTGCCGGAGGCGCCGCCGGGGGGCGGGGGCCCAGCGCAGATCCAAGAGATCTGCGCGGAGCGCCAAAAGCTCGTGCTGATGGCGCTGTTTCTTCTTCGAGGACCGCGGTGAGGAGGACCAGCCGATCGGATGCGTCGGCGCTCGGCAGGTGGATCACGCAGTTCCAGCTCGCCAGGCAGGGGGGCCTCTCCTCGGGGGGGTCCCCGAACAGTACAGTCGGGAGGGCCTCCTGCATCCAGGTCTTGACCTGGCTGACTCTGTAGAGCTGGTCCCACGTCATGTACTGGATCTTGTTCTCCTCCCACGTCGGGACCTCGATCGCAACCGGCTTGATGCTCGAGTCCAGCGCGGCGTGCACCTCGTAGTTCACTGGTATGATGATGTTTACACGGAGGAACCAGAAGTACGTGATCGCGTACAGGAAGAACATGAAGACTCTACCCATCTTGAAAGTGGAATGCTGGCCGTCGGCCCCGTTCAACCATTTGCCAACCTTCTCTCTCATCTCGTCGTCGAGGTGCTCGAGAACTGGCTGCGACTTCTTGTGCTCCGTGCTCCTCGACGCATCCTCGGCCCCGGCGGCGGCGCCAACCTTCCGCTTGGCCGCCGCGGGTCGCACCAGCCTGTGAAGGCACCTCCTACACTGTGTTACCAACGACCGCGTGCCTGCGAGCCTCCTCCGCAGCTCCTTGCGCGCCTTTTTGGTGTCCGCCTGACGACGCTCCCTGTCGAACTGGTCCTGCATTTCCTCGCTGACGCGATTGTAAGCGTAGTTGATGATCGCGTTGAACATCTGCACGGAGAAGATGTAGAAGACGATCATGAAACTCCCAAAGAAGAGTTTGAACAGTGGATCGGTGATGTGTTGAACGCCAGTGACATCGCCGAAAAACATCGCCATCGCTGTGGTCAACCCGATCCCCTCGTGGTGGAACTCGACGTAGCGCGCCCCGAATAGCGCGGTGGCGAACGCGAAGAAACCAAGGAAGACGACGAGCATAAGGCATCCATAGGCGAGAAGCTTCCCAGCCATCAGGGCAAACGATCGACCAATGCGTCGAAGTCTGAAGTTGTACATGGACAGCAACTGCAGCGAGCGCCAGTAGATTAGCAGGGTGGCCACGGCCGATACACGGCAGTAAACTTGGCTGAAAAAAACGATGGCCGAGCTGATCTCTTCGATATCCTTGTAGGCAGTGTCGCTATTAAGGAACTCCTGCAGCCTACCGACATGGACTCGCCATGTGATCAATGCCCCAAGACTGAATCCGCTGGCGTACCCCCTGGCACGACGAGGCGTGGTAGAATGCTAAGTGCTGTCTCGTAGGGTTTCTGTCTGTCAGCCTTCTAAGCCCCCCCCCTTCCTCGCAAAGTTCCCAATGCATCGCCCCATCCTTGTCCCTCGTAAGTTCAATCGGCACAGAGGTCCCAATATGTGCGTGGCATTCCCTGGCACATCCCGCTGCGAGTATCTGAGTGAATCCTAGCCTGCGGCGACTGAGCGTTCCCTGAGTGCCCACCACATGGTACGCTGTATCGGGATGATGTGGGAATCTTGAAACCTAATCGGACAAGAATGGGAACAACCGCTTTAGTCCAATGGGCTTGTTGGGCGAAGAAGAAGAGAAGGAAGGCGAGGGCGACGAGGAGGCGATGATGAGGACGACGTGGAGAACGTGAGGGTCGCGAGGAGGAGCATGAAGACAACGAGGAGGAAGAGACACACAAGGACGAGGACGAAGGTAACGAGGGCGGGTACGAGGAGGAATGCGGAGGACGATGACGACGACGAGGACGGAGGACAGTAAGAGGCAATTGGAGAAGGATGTTGAATCAGGAGAGGGTCCTGGTGACCCTGTCGGGCTACCCTGGGCGCTCCTGGCGCCGCGCGGGGTGATTTGGGTCCTGTTGGTGGTTCCTTGAGGGCCTCTTGGGTCCTCTTGTGGGCTTCTGGGGTCTGCTTGGGCTGTCTGGGCGCGTCGTGGGGTTCTCTGGGAGCTTTCTTGGGCCGTCTCGGCGCCGTCGTGGGCCGTCGTGGGGCATTCTTGGGCCGTTCGGGGGCCTCCTGGGGCGCTCCCGGGAGTCTCTTGGGGCCCTCTTGGCTAGTCTTGGACCGTCTTGGGGCTCTTCTGAGCTGCCTGGGTGCCTCCTAGAGCGCTCTAGGGGGTCTCTTGGGATCCTTTTTTGCGGCGCACTCGGGCGCTCTTGGGGACCTCCTGGGCGTCTTTTGGGACTCCTTTGGGCCGTTTGAAAGCCTTCCGGAAGTGATTCTAAGACGATGTCGATTCGGATTCCCCTGCCGTGCTGATCAAACTGTCGTTTTGAACAAAAGAGGTACTAACACACCTCTGTCGGCATCTTACTTTTTCGCGGAAGTCTGCGGCGAAACGCTCATTGTTCATGCACCATGTTGGAGGATGTCTCGAGCGAAACGCTTGTCTTTGTGAAGACGATGTTGCGAACATGTCAGTTGTGTGAGGATGTCTCTTTCGAAATGCTCATGTTGGATACCTTTTCTGACTTGAACGGGAAGCGCGTGAAACCGACGAGCTTGACAAAAGCATGCACCAACATCGAGATCGACTGTAGCATAGATGCTCTTGCCGAGCGTCCACGGGGAGTATCAATAGAGTTCACTACCCGCGCAAGTTCAGGCAGATGAGAGACACTCCGTATTCTGGCCATGATGCTCGGGGAAAGGGATCCTGGAGCCCAAGTGCTCTTCGTCGTCGTCGTCCTCCTCCTCCGACCAAGTTCGGAAAACATCGAGCCCATCAAAAACAGTCACCAAACGCCGCGGGTGACTGTTTTGTTGCGGGCGCTTTTGTGGTCAATCGGGGAAGGTCGAGGGGTGTGCCAAAATGGACCGAGGCCGCCATGCGAACCCTGCCACTGGCGCCTTCGGTGGAGCTCCCTATGGGGCCACGATCCTCGTGAGGGGTGTGCCGAAATGGCCCGAGGCCGCCATGCGAACCCTGCCACTGGGGCCTTCGGTGGAGCTCCCTATGGGGCCACGAAACGCTGTACTGGGTGGGTGAAGCGCAGGGAGGAAGGAAGAGGGGGAGAAGGGCGGGAAGGAGGAGGAAGGAACGCGGGGCACCTTCTCTTCAAAACGAGGACCCAACACCACAGGATGGTTGGAAATGGACAAATGCGGTTGTGTTCCTACGTTTTGTTTGCAGAATTCATACAAGACAACAGGTCCTTACATCTGGGCATCCATACCATACGAAAGTCATGGTTCTCCCACCCTTTGGACAAACCGCCACATGAAGAGCCAATAATTGGGACGTGGGGTGTATGAACATGTAATGTTTTTGTTTGGCGTTGGCTTGCACATGTGAGAAAAAGATGTGTCAATATTTGTGTCTCAACACATCGGATCATCATTGAAACCCTTCAATTTCAAGTCTCCCCCTGCTCACTACCAAGAAGACCCACAAAAGGAATCAAACCGAAATCCCACACAAAAGGGGTCCTTCGTAATCTGCAACACAAGGAATCAATGTGTAACCCGCCACAACAGAAATCAAACTGCAACCCGCCGCATGAGAAATCCCTTTGTAATCCGCCAGAAGGGGAATCAGCGTGTGATCCCCCCAGAAAAAGAATTCTGATGTAATCCACCACGAAAGGGATCAACTTGCTACCTGCCGCGCAAAGGATGAACTGGCAACCCGCCACAAAACCAATCCATGTGTAATCTTCCAGAACAAGAAATAATCTTGAACCCGCCACAAAGAAGACAACATGTGCACCCTCCCACCAAAAAGACTAAACTTGTAACCCGACGCAAGAGGAATCAAAGCCGGCAAATCAGAAAGGGACAGAAGTCAGCAACGACCAGAAAACAAGTACCGAACATGCAAAAAAACAACAAAAAACAAGCTGGTACACACACAGTTCGGTTTTGGTCAACCTCATCCCCTCAGGGGCCCCAACAGGAACCCCCACCAGGCTCCAAGAGATCCAAAACATTGATGGCCCTCTGCTTTGTCTTTAATGCCTTTAGCGTTCTCGTCTTTTCGGGTTCTCGGGAAGCCATCACGGCCGAGGCAACCTCCACCACGGCCCCAAGAGGCAAGAGGAACTCAAGAGAATCCCACGAAGGCTTTGAGAGGCCTTGAAGAAGGCTTCAGAAGGGGCCAGACGGCGCAAGAGCGCACCCAGAGGGCACCAGACGCCCACATAAGGCCCCAAGAGGCATCAACGAGGCCCATAAAGGCCCAAGAGGCCCCCAAGAGGCCTCCAAGAGGCCCCGAAGACACTCCGATGCCCCTCAAGACTGCCCCACTGGAGCCCAAAGCAGCCCCAGCACAGCCCAAATGAGCTCCGTCAGAAGCTCCTTAAGAAGCGAAGACGGAAGCACTTTTGGCTGCCGTCCTCGCCCATCTTTGAACGGGGGCTAGGGACACACAACGAAATACACATAAATCCCAGGATCCCCCGTAGATGTCCATGTATTCTGGATTTTCGTCTTCCCCCACACTTCCCATATGTTCCCACTTTTCCTTTGAGTCGACGGTTCATGTGAGCGATTTCTTATTCGGCATTTCGACTCTGGGCGGAAAGGGGGGGAAGGGTGGGGGTCTGGCTCCGGGCCTCTGCTTAGTGCGACTGTTTGGAACCGTGCGTCCTATGGGGGGGGGACCTCACCTGCTCGAAAGAGGCGCCCAAAAAAAACAAGATCTACTCCCACGGGGGAGGGAGGGGGGGCTGCGAGGGCCCGCACCGGCTTGCGAAACAATGAATAAAAAACGATCACCATTGTCTGTGTTTCCCCCTCCTGTCCTGATCTACATCCTTCACCTTCCCATCCTCAACATCAACACTGTTATGACATTCATTCAGCATTGCTCTCGTCCACTATTATGCTAATCCTGCTGCTGTTCCTGCTCCTTCCTTCTCCTTTCCCACCCTGCTCCTCCTCGCGCCTCGGCCCCAGGAAGACACCACATGAACCCGACGGCCGAAGCATGACCATTGATCAAATTGTCAACACGCACTGCATGACGTCGCTCGATTCATGTGCTGCCGCCTCTAACCTCCTGCCGTTCCGAGAAGAATCGCAACCGATAACACTGGGCTCGCACGGCTGCGGGACTTGCCGCAGGCAACGGTATAAGACGGACAACATATCGATGTACGTCCATATATCCATCAAGAAATCGCCATCACCATTGGACTTCCAAGCCTTGATGACACTAGAAAAAAATGAGAAACACGTGAAAATTAAATGCACTGGCCTACCGAGCCAGAGGCGTGTCTGGAACCACGACAGACGGGTAACGTGATGGACATGCTGTTATCAGTATAGTCGCGCACGCGATGGAGCCTCCAGGATCGCGAGTGCGGCTCCTGCCGAGAGCGCGCCACGAGCGCCCAAGGGAAACACAACAGAGACAACAGAACGCGGAACAGCAAGGATCAAGCCCGGCGGTGGCCCTTATGTGGCCTCAAGATGGCCCATGATGTCTTGACAACCGTCCAATGAGCTTCTGGGATGGCCCAGAACGGCCGAAAAGCAAATCCCGGAGGCTCCGCCACATGCCACGTCACTAAAACACGGTTGTTGGATTGTTCGGCCTTCTTGCCGGGAGGAGGAGGAGGAGGAGGAGCAGGAGGAGGAGGAGCAGGAGGAGGAGGAGGAGAGCGCGAGCGACTCGTTCCCTGGTTGAACGACTCGTTCCCCGGTTGTTCGACTCGCTCCCCGGCGGAAGTAACACCCATTTAAAAGAACTTCGTCCCTGGCGGAGCTATTAATTAAAACTGGTCTGTCAAGATGTCGCAGCGACGATAACCATGAGTTCGACCCTTACACGTAGCCACCTACGTTGCCGCTGAAACATCATGAATCCTACCGGGGAACGAAATCGTCAGAAGTGTTGTTGTACTGGTGTGCGTGACAGTGGCCTTGCTCTTCTCAATGTGCGGACGATGGACACATCGCGAGGAGGAGGAAGAGGAGGAGGAAGAGGAGGAGGAGAGGAGGAGGAAGAGGAGGATAAGGAGGAGGAGGAGGAGGATACGGGGGCGGTCAAATAGAAGATGAGAAGGAAGAGGGGCGGGAGGAGGAGGAAGTGGAGGAGGAAGAGGAAAGAGGATCGAGGAGGAGGAGGAGGAGGAGCGGGAACAAAAGGGGGGGAGAGGAAAGAGGATCGATGATGATGAGGAGGAGGAGGGGAAAAAAAAGCACAAGGGACAGGAGAAACAGGAAGTGGAGGGGCTGAAAGAGGAACAGCCAGAGAACCGGGGGAGGAACGGAAGGGGAAGAGGAAGTGAAAGAGGAGAGGGACGGCGAGGACGAGGAGGGGGACAAAAGAGGAGGAGGATGGGGAGGAGGAGCAGGGGGAGGATGAGGAGGAGAACCGCCGACCCACAACCAGCCACGAGCACAACAACTCGCAACCCAAGAACGAGCCCCAGAAACCTACCATCATCATCCGTGTTGAGAACCGTGAATGAAAATAAGGCCCCCGGCGCGGGGTAATGCCAGTGTCGCCGTTAGTCACCTACCCGTTTGCTCCAATCGTTTCCCAGTTTGCTCTGCTCGCCTGCTGGTTTACTCTGCTCGCCTGCTCGTCTGTTCGCTTACTCCGTTCGAGTTTAATGTTGTTGCCGCCTGTCCGTTTGAATGTTGTTTGTTTTGCCTTTTTGGGGCGTTTTGCCTGCGACAGGGACCCTCGGGAGGCATCCCAGAGGGAGACGCCGTGCGAGGCTGGGCTCGAGGCCTTTGGGGGCTGATGGGGGCAACCAGAGAAGGCCCATTAAAGGAGGTGCGGGCGGTTCCTGGTTCAAAACGGGGCTCCCGCTCGAACTCCACTTCAAGTCCTCTCGAGGTATCCCAGAGGGCAGCGCCGTGCGAGGCGATCCGCAGAGGACTGAGAGGGGGCAACCACAGAAGGCCCAGAGGAGGTTGAGGGCGGCCCCTTTGTCAAAACGGTTTTTTCGCTTGAGCCCCACTGGTCCTCTCGAAATACCCCAAACAGGGAGGCGCCGTGCGAGGCGGGGGCCCGGGGCCCCTGGGGGGCTCAGGGGGAAGCCAGAAAAAAGGGTCAGAGGAAAGGCGGTTTTGGTGTTGAGTCCTCGTTTTGAAGAGACGGTGCCCCGCGCCTCCTTCTCCTTTTCCTCCCGCTGCCCCCCTCCCTCCTCCCTGCGTTTCACCCACACAACACAACGCTTCGTGACCCCATAAGGAGCTCCACCGAAGGCCCTGGTGGCAAGGTTCGCATGGCGGCCTCGGGCCATTTCGGCACACCCCTCACGAGGATCGTGGCCCCATAGGGAGCTCCCCCATGGGGAGCTCCACCGAAGGCGCCAGTGGCAGGGTTCGCATGGCGGCCTCGGGCCATTTCGGCACACCCGTCACGAGGATCGCGGCCCCACAGGGAGCTCCAGCGAAGGTCCCATTTGCAGGGTTCGCGCGGCGGCCTCGGGCAATTTCGGTACACCCCTCACGAGGATCGTGGCCCCATAGGGGACTCCAGCGAACGCGCCAGCGGCGCGGTTCGCGTGGCGGCCTCGGGCCATTTTGGCACACCTTTTTCACGGGGATCGTGGCCACATGAGGAGCTTCACCGAAGGCGCTGGTGGCAGGGTTCGCGTGGCGGCCTCGGGCCATTTCGGCACACCCCCCACGAGGATCGCGGCCACGTGGGGAACTCCACCGGAGGCCCCCGGTGGCGGGGTTCGCGCGGCGGCCTCGGGCCATTTCGGCACACCCGTCACGAGGATCGCGGCCCCACAGGGAGCTCCACTGAAGGCCCCCAGTGGCAGGGTTCGCATGGCGGCCTCGGGCCATTTCGGCACACCCGTCACGAGGATCGCGGCCCCGTAGGGAGCTCCACTGAAGGCCCCCAGTGGCAGGGTTCGCATGGCGGCCTCGGGCCATTTCGGAGCACCCCTCACGAGGATCGTGGCCCCATGAGGAGCTCCACCGAAGGCGCCAGCGGCAGGGCGCACGGCGGCCTCGAGCCATTTCGGCACGCCCCTCACGAGGATCGTGGCCCCACGGGGAGCTCCATCGAAGGCGCGAGCGTCGTACTCCGCTTTGTCGACGTGCAACGCCACCTCCTCCCCCATGGCGCTTAAAGTCCTCTCCTGTTTCTGCTCCTCGGTCAGAGGGGCGCCGTCCTTGTCGTCGTCGGCGCCCGCGAAGACGGCGACGAACGTGTTCCTGAGCATGCCGGGCTCCTGCGGGAAGCCGTGGCCACATAGGGGGTGCGGGCGAAGATGGTATTCACAATTGCGGCATTCACAACTGCATAATTATGGTAGCGTCCTTCGCCAGGCTAATTTGTTCAAAGCGGCGAACACGATGGGGATAACGCGCATGTGCATCTTCTCCTCCCGCGACACTGGCCCACCAAGAACGTGCGCAGCCGAAGGAGTGCAGCCGCTGCCACCAGGCCACGAGATGCGATTCAGACGGCTTTCGGGTGACTCAGAAATCTCCAAGAGGGACCTCAAGGACCTCTCGGCGGCATACGGGAGGTCTTTTCAGAGGCCTCTCAGAAGCATCTCTGAGGGCTCTCTGAGGCCCCTGAGAAGGCCATTCAGAGGGCTATCCGAGACCTCTCAGAAAGAATCTCTGAGGGCCCCAAACAGCTTCCAATGGGAGGTTGCCAAGAAACGCGCCTTGCCAGGAATCCTTCAGAGGCCAACGACAACATTCTCAGAGGCTGCCGAGGGCCTGTCAGGGGCCGCCAAGAGGCCTCTCAGGGGCAGCCAAGAAGTCTCTCAAGGGCCGCCAAGAAGCCTCTGACGGGACCCCTAGAGGTGTCTTAGGGGCCGCCAAACAAACCTTTCAGGGGCCGCCAAGAACCGTTTTAGGGGCCGCCAAGAAACGTCCCAGGGGCCGCCAAGCACCTTCTCAGGGGCTGCCAAGGAACCCATTTTTTCAGGGGCCGCCGAAAGCCTTCTCAGGAGCCGCCGAACACCCTGTCATGGGCTGCCGAGGACCCTGCCAGGGACCGCCAAAAACACATGAGCCACCAACAGACTTGTCAGGACCCCCCAAGAACCCTCGAAGGGGCCGCCGATATGCCTCCCGAGGGCTGCCGAGAACATTTTTTTCAGGGGCCGCTAGGAATCCTCTCACGGGCCGGCAAGGACCCTCTCAGAGACCGCCAAGAGGCCGTTTTCAGGGGCCGCCGAGGGGCCCCTCAGGAGCCGCCGAGAGGGCTCTCAGGAGCCTCCAAGAATCCTCTTGAGAAGCGCCAGGAGTCCCCTCAGGGGCCGCCCAGGGCGTTCTCACAGGCCGCCGAGAACAATCTCAGGGGCTCACAACAACCTTCTCAGAGGCCGCCCAGAAACTTCTCAGGGGCCGCCCAGCACCCTCTCAGGGGCAGCCAGGAACCCTCTCATACGCGGCCACGAAGCGTTTCAGGGGCCGCCAAGAAACCTCTCAGGGGTCGCCAAGAACCCTCTCAGGGGCCGCCAAGAACCCTCTATGGGGCGGCCAAAAAGACGCCTCAAAAGCCGCCAAACAAACCTTTCAGGGGCCACCAAATCAATTCTCGGGGGGCCGCCACAAGGCTTCGTAGGGGCCGCCGAACAAACCTCTCAGAGGCCGCCACAAACCTTGTTGGGGGCCGCCAGGAACCCTTCCAAGGGCCGACAAGAATCTTCCAGGGGGCCGCCAAAAACCATTTTGAGGGCCGGCAAGACCCAGGGCCAATCAAAGCCGCCAAGAGCCTTCTCAGGGGCCTCCAAAAAAACTCTCAGGGGCTGCCAGGAACCTTCTCAGGGGCCGCCAAGAACCCTCCCAATGACCGCCAAGAGCCCTATCAGGGGCCGCCAGGGGACCTCTCAAGGGCCGCCAAGAACCTTCTTGATGGCCGCCAAGAACCTTCTTGGTGGCCGCCATGCCCCCTCTCAGAGGCCGCCAAGAACCCTCCCAGTGGCCGCCAAGAGCCCTCTCAGGGGCTGCCAGGGGACCTCTCAAGGGCCGCCAAGAACCGTCTGGGGGGCCGCCAAGAACCTTCTCGGGGGCCGCCAAGTACCTTCTTGGTGGCCGCCAAAAACCGTCTCAGGGGCCGCCAAGAACCCTCTCAGGGGCCGCCACGAACCCTCTCAAGGACCGCCAAGAACCTTCTTGGCGGCCGCCGAGAAGCCTCTCAGAAACTCCGCATACTGAGAAACCACTTCACAACACTTCGAACTTCCGCCGGTGAACGATTCGTTCAGCCGGGGATCGAGTCGTTCAACCGGGGAACGAGTTTTTCTCGGAGGAGGAGGGGGAGGGGGAGTCGGAGGAGGAGGAGGGGGAGGGGAAGGGGGAGGGGGAGGAGGAGGAGGAGGAGGAGGAGGAGGAGGAGGAGGAGGAGGAGGAGGAGGAGGAGGAGGAGGAGGAGAGGAGGAGGGGGGAGGGGGAGTCGGAGGAGGAGGAGGGGAGGGGAAGGGGAGGGGAGGAGGAGGAGGAGGAGGAGGAGGAGGAGGAGGAGGAGGAGGAGGAGGAGGAGGAGGAAGAGGAGGCTCGAACACGCTCCTCGTGCCGAGAGGCGGCCCCCACAAAAAGAGCCCTGGGAGGTCACAGAAGCAGAAGACCTCGATGAGCCTTCCATGAAACCACACAATAGATTCAAGTCGGGCGTGTCCCCCTACACGGTGATTCTGAGCGAAAAAATAGAAATACCCCCACAAATATCCCCTAACTGCTCAGAAATAGTCAAACATAGTCCCCAAACAATTATTTACTACTTTTGAGCATCCCTCCTGTAGAGGGGCAGGCCCGACTGAAAGATATATCTCAGAGGCATTTCGTCCACGACTGACGGACGCAATAGCGGGCTGGACCGAATGCCAACGGGCACCCTGTAAACAGTACACCCGAACGCAAATGTCAAACGACGGCCTGACAAAGCTGCAACCGCCCCACCATATCCAAGTCCTCATGGTCATGATGGTCCCGCGGAATGCGCGAAGCGGTTGGATAAGCAATGTCGGCTTTGTCGGTAATGGGGTCGTATACATCCAGCAGCATCGATCTAGAATCGACAATTTTTCCAGCTAACAAGCCAGTCTCGCGCGCGTTGAAGACTAGATCGATCCTGGAAATGCTCTGGTAATTTGGGTTGTACAGGGCCATCTGCACTGCCATGCTTCCGAACGTCGGGCCGAACCAGGTGGCCTCACGGAAATCTACAAATCCCATCCTCTGATCGTTCACCTGCACGTAGCCTTTATCGAAACCACCGCTTGTCGGAAGTACCATTTTGGCGATATAACCACCCTGACGCTTGTAGCCTGCCCCTGGCTCGTACCGCCACGTGAAGTTGCCAGATACCAGCAGGTCAGTGTCCTCAAAGTCCCCCGTGGCCGTACCCCCCTTAAGTTCGGAGGCCAGCCACGTATTCGGATACAATGGTTGAAAGCGACGTGTAGTAGCAAGATCGGTTGAAGAATCTGACAACTTCATTCGCCGGTACGTCAAATAGATTGCACCCTCGTCGCTCTCCGCGGGCATGAGCCTATTAAACCCCACCAGCGACAAGGGCAGCTGACCAGGTAAAGCCACAATCGACCAGACGAACCGTGTCGCCCAATCCAAAACGTCATCGGTGGTATAGATGTCGTCGAAATACTTGAAGATAGGCGTGAGGGTAAACGGCTGCTCATAAATCCCGGTGACTGACCCCAACCACACCTCGGAGCGCCACTCAACACTGCTGCGTCTGATGATAACGAACGAGGCTACAAACACGTAAATAGCGAAAAAAAGGGCAGCCACCCACGTCACGGACTTCCCACCTTTGTCCTTCGAACCCGAGACGTCATCCCCAAGCAATCGATGGAGGTAGATCTTCCGCCGGTTCGCCTCCTTTGAGAGGGGCGAATGGGGGCCACTAACAAGGGTTGGCGGGAGGCGAGTCAGAAACTCACAATACCGACGGCACAAATGCACGTTATTTCGGAGTGCAGGATCCTTGAACTTCCACGAGGAATCGGCTGCAGTGGCATCGCGCCAACGGCCCTAACATGGGCCGAATAGGCGATGATGCACGCACAGCCTGACTGGAATGCTGCACACCTCCAGCTGGACCCAGGGCCAGAAGACCATCCTTCAAGAAGATGAGACCCTCCGCCGGCAAAAACACACTGAACATGCAAGGGCACTCTCCCAGGATGTACAAGAACGTCCAACAAACACGAAGAACACTAGGGCACCCTCCCCGAACCGACTGCGATATTATACCTCGGTCCGACTGTGTTCTGGTTGGAGGCGGCCAGGGGGTCTGAAGTGGATGGGGCCCCAGAAAATCGACCAAGAGGGGAAAACGATACCAAATCCGCTCAAAAAACCAGTCCTCGGGCCTCTCCCGCCGTCCACCTATTGCAGATTCTCACCACGGATCCCCGGTGTTTGACGGCCCGTGGGCCCCAACACGGCCCTGGGAGACGGAAGATCAAGGCAAAACGCCTCGTCGAACTGAGCGCCTCGAACCTGCCCTCCCTGCCTGCTGGCCGGAGCCGATGCAGGGCCGCCTCAGACCGCCTGCTAGCTCCAAACGCAGGGGCAGCCTGGGTGAAATCCTGCACGCCTTTCTGGAGTTGACCGTACATGAAGGGGCCCTGGGACACACAAATAAATAGACACAAATAACAGGATCCTCAATATATATATATATATATATATAGAGAGAGAGAGAGAGAGAGAGAGAGTTCTTTTTTCTGGGTTTTTGTCTCACTCCACCCACTTCCCATATTTTCCCATATTTTCCTGGGGAATGGTCGATTCATTGTGTCTGTGTTTTTCCCTTCCTGAGTACACGGGGGAGGGGGGGGTGAATCGTCTGCGGCCGGCTCCGGCCGTGCCCGCGTGGACTCAAGTTCTGGATGCAGAGGAACAGGACAACTGCATACGCCAGGTTCGCGTCGTGTCGGCCTCGGCGATGGTTTCTGACACCAGGGTGACCGTATAGCCTTTGAGCGATCGGCCGTTTCCAAAACGTCAAATTGTCCAGCATAGACCGATTCTGAGTCGCTGGCAGCGTTCAATCGCTGAACGCCAGTAGCGGGATCACCGTCAGACGACACGGCGCGAACTTACCGAAAATCATTTCAGGGAGATTCGGGGGGGACGAGAAGGGCAGGATAGCAGAGGGCTGGGCAGAGTTCGGGCTCACGTGGCTGGCATTCTCCTGGCGCTGGGATGCGCCCGTGTATCGAGGAATGGACCTGGCGGCGGGGCGGAAACCAGCCGCATGCAAAAGATGCCGCACCCCCCCCTGGGCAAAGGCACCCTGCTCCTTTTCATTCTTCAGCAGGAGGAGGAGGAGGAAGAGGAGGAGGAGGAAGATGGCCTTTCCCTGTCCCCCCCTGTCGTCCGGCCCGGTGAGGTCCGCGCGGAGCTCCTGGACCGGCGCTGATACCACCCCCCCTGGCGCAGGGGAGCCCCATACGTCGATCCAAGAAATCCGCGCGGACACCCGCCACAATTGTGTGTGTGCCCCTGTTCTCGGAAGGCGAGCAGAAGGGGGCAGAGGGAGGGGGGAGACTTCTGAGGAGGCTGCTTCTTGGAAGGCGCGGGCCCCACATGTAGAGACAAGGCCAACTTCTTTGTGAGAAGCCGTCTCCCTCGAATCGGGGGCGCGCAAACACGGATTAGCGATCCGTGGATTTGGCGCGTGGTCGCCATATCCGTGGACCAGGGGAGGTGCCCTCCCCAAAATGCGGCCTGTGCCGCCCCGCTCGGCGGCGGCAGTCCGCGTTTTCTCACAGAAGCGGGACCCGTCGCTTATCCACACCCCTTGGTCCATGTTTGCGATCGCCTGATCTCAGAAGCCGTCCGCCCTCCCCCCTGCCCCCATCTGCGCGTGGCCGGGGACCGTCCAAGTGAGCGTTTTCTCAATACGGCGTCTCGACATTGGGCGGAAAGGGGGAGGGGAGGGGGAGGGGTCTGGCTCTGGACCTCTGCTTACTGCGACTGTTTGCAGCGGTGCGTCCTGTTGGGGCGAATGCACCTGGTTGAGACAGGCGCCAGAAACTGCCAAGATTTACTCCATGGGGAGGGTGGATGGGGGGGTGCGAGGGCCCGCGCCGATCCGTCAAGCAACGAATAAGATAGCGATCGCCAACAAAGATCATCCACTCCTGAGCGTTGTGGATGGCATTGCAATGACCACTATAACGGCCCGATCGTTGGCGTGAAGATGTTGAGACAAGAAAGCATGTTTCAGACGTGCTTATTGCATTTGTTAAACATGGTTCAGCCATGTCTTAGACATCTGGAAAACAATTGACCACATGCCTCCTCTCCATTGATTCAGCAGGGACCGACCGTCCCGGCATTCCTATAGTCCTACCACGAAATCTTAGTACAACCCATACGTGCTCTAGGAACAAGCACAGTGTTCTTAGAACATACGCCCGACATGCTAAAACAAGACAACCCCCGCCATAGCTGTTCTAAGAACATGTTGTGCAGACTACAAAAGGTTATTATAGCATTGTTTGGTTGGCCTATAGGCAAGCCAGGACGCTTCGCCACTGCTTAAATTGATCGTCGTCCACGAACTGAACGACCCCCGCCACCCGACGGCAGAGTCCCGCCGAGCCAGGCCAATCCCCGTGGCTGGGCCGCCCCGCGGCAGCGCGGCCTCCCCGCGGGGCAGCAGGTCTGCGCCAGAACCCGCGAAGCCTCCTCCTCCTCCTCCTCCTCCTCCCCCTCCTCCTCCTCCTGCTCCTCCTGCTCCTCCTCCTCCTCCTCTTCCTGCTCCTCCTCATCCTCCTTCTCCTCCTCTTCCTGTTCCTCCTCCTGCTCCTCTTCTCCTCCTCCTCCTCCTCCTCCTCGTTCCCCCCCTCTCCTCCCCTTCCTCCTCCTCCTCTCGGACAGGAAGCAACCACAACTGCATGCGCATAAAAACGTTCGGAGCACCCGCGCGGACGTCTTGGATCTGCGCCCTGCCCCCCCCTGGCGGCGCCTCGGGCGCCAGGGAGAGGGGGGTCGAGCGCGCATCCAAGAAAGCAACGGGTGGATCTGCATTGTTCGAGGCACCTCGTCTTTAGGACCTCAGCCCTCAAGACCCCGCATTTCATGCCGTCGCTCGGACGTCCATTCCCCGTGCCTCGTTCGGCTCCGTGCGTCTGCTGTCTCGCAAGATGATCCGCAGCGTTCCTCGCTGGCCCCCGCAGGGAAAGTGCACATGATGGGCCTGTTTTTCACCACCACCACCACCATGAGTTGGAGGGGCGGAGTGAGGACGAAGAGGATTGAGGAGAAGACGAGGAGGAGGAGGAGGAGGAGGAGGAGGAGGAGGAGGAGGAGGAGGAGGAAGAGGAGGAGGAGGAAGACGAGGAGGAGGAGGAGGAGGAAGAGGAGGAGGAGGAGGAGCGGGAGGAGGGCCCCCCCTCCCCCCCTCCTGCTGGTGGCGGCGGTGGTGGACGACGGGCCAACCAGGCACAGGGCCCGAGTGGTCGCCCTCGCAAGGGGGCATTTTTGTGAGTGCGTCGCCAGCGCGGCGGACACCCACGGGGCGGATCGCACGCGCGTCGCCCGCTCCACGGCCGCTGAAAAGGCTGGTCGTTTTCGGGAAGAAGAAAGTCGCCCACGCTGCGGCCCTCTTGGCGAGAAGAAGGCGGCCACTGGGCTACCTTGGCAGATCAGCAAATCCCTCTAACATTACAAATGCCGCGACGCTGCTGAACGCAACCTGGCGCTAGGCCAGCAGGTCCCCGCAGCCGCCGCCACAGCCGCCGCGACCGCCGCCAGCGCCAAAACTACCACCGCCACGATCACCACAAACGGATGCGACCGCAACCGCATCCACCGTGACGATTACGACCAACACCATTTACCGCTATCACCACCACGACCACCACGCTTCCCGCGACCACCACAACGACCGACACCAGCACGATCACCGACGTGACCACCACCACCCCGCCCACCACTAGCGGCACGACCACCGCCGGCGCGACCAAGGCGACGAACGCGACCACGTCCATGATCACCAACATGACCAGTACAGAAGCACCCGCCCACTCCGTCCTTCCCCCTCTCCCTGCCATTCCCCTGCAGGGCCGCCCATGCCGCCGCGCCCGCCTCGCGCCCCTGCCCCCCCCCCCCCCCCCATCCTTTTCTCCTCGCAATCTTCGTCTTCCACCGCCGGCGGCGGGGCCATTCGCGAAGGCAGGGGAGCCGCTCGCGGCGACGCGCCGCGGCTGCGGAAGGGGGGCCGGAGGAGAGAAAGAAAATGAAGAGTGACACGGGTGGAATGGGGAAAAAACAAAGACGAGCGAGGAGGGAGGAGGGACAGACAGAAGGAGGCCAGGAGAAATGGAGAGAAGACGGGGAGGAGAGAGGGAGACGAGGCAGGAGGGAGGACGAAGGAGGAGGAATGACGAAAGAGGAAGGACGACGAGGAAGGAACAGGGAAAGAGCAGGGGCAAGCACCGCCCTTCCTGGCGCAATGGAGGACGCAGCCGCACAGCGGGCCGACGGCCGTTGCGCATTGGTGTCCGGAGAAATGCTAGGGGCGGGCAAACTCGCGACTGCGTCGCGCATGCGTCGCGCGTGCGTCGCGCGTGCGTCGCGCTTGCTTCGCGCGCGCGGGGCGTGCGTCGCGCGTGCGTCGCGCGGGTCGCTCGTGCGTCGCGCGATGGCAGGGGTGCGTCGCGCGCGGGTCGGGGTGCGTGGCGCGCGCGCCGCGCGTGCGTCGCGCGTGCGTCGCGCGAGCGTCGCTCGGGTCGTTCGCGCGTCGCGCGCAGGTCGCGCGCGAATCGCTCGAAGGGCGCCGTGAACTTCCGACGGCATGTGAACTGCACGGCCCGCTGGCGCAACAATCAAGGGATGCCCGCGGCGATCGTACAAATAGCGAA